AGGCGTTTCAACCGTCAACATCTAAGACTATATTTAACAACTTTGTAATTAAATGCCTTTTTTTTTCTTAATACACGGACCTCATTTAGACATCGAAACACATTTTTTAGTTTGGTTGAACCGAATTTGCTGGGAAAAATTCAAAACTGAAAAAGTTTATTCCAGAATTATTTTTTGTAACATTGCTTCAGAGAAGAACATTTTATCTAGACTATGTGTAAAAAGTCAAACAACAGAAAATTATCCTTTATTTAAAGTTGACAAATCAGTCAGCCTACTAATTTTTATGAGGACTACAAACTTTTAAAAAAATCAGGATTTTGGGGTTTTTTGACTTTGTAGCACTTTTTCTGAACTGTTATTTATAAAATGTCATTTCATAAAATTGAATTATATCCGTTAATACAATCGTATACACCTAAGAACAAACTAAATTTTTAGTGTAACATACGCTCACAGACTCATTTCTAGTTGCGTGTAATATATCCTATTTTATACCTAAAAGGAAAAAAAGAAAATTTCCCATAGTACCATTTTGTCGTCAATAGAGTAAAATTATATACAAGTACATAAAGTTTTATCAAAAGCACTGTGCACTTAAAATATAAAACTTTTCATTAAGAAGCTAATAATGAAAATCACATACAAATCAAGTTACACTTTGCTTAAATAAATTTTGTAGCAAGAAAAAAAATGTTTATGGACCCTCATTTATTTATTATAAAACTAACAGATAAACAAAAATTTGATTGAAATTTATTGATACAAAGAGAACCTGCTAATGAAATATGTTTTCTTGAAAAATATGCACGTCTGTAAATAATTTTATAATGAAAAATGCTTACTACAATATTAAAAAATAAACCAGTAAATTAGCAGTAAATAAATAATGGTATTACAAATAAAACATAAAATAACAGGCATAATTCTAACATCATTTATTTAAAATATACAAATGAAACTGAGATAAGTAAGGATAGATAGTTCAAACGCTGTCAAGTGTTTTAGTATACATCGCTATAGGTAATGTATGAAATAAGTAGTTATTGACTAAATGTCATTGTGAACAGATTTTTTCCATGCATTCTAATTATCAACACTATTAACCTTACTTTAAAGTAACATTTAAATGAATATAGTCTTAATAACATAACAATTTCCAGTTTTCCAAAATTTATTGAAAGAGTTATTTGTTATCATAAAAGTAGATAATGGACTAATAGTGCTTAGAGCAGTACCTTTATCTATAAATTGGCCTATAAGGCTACAGGCCGGTTACTACAGTGAATCTTTTCTGTCTGAGAATGGCTTTATCTTGGGTATCATTAAATGAAAGATAGGGAAAAGGCTGTTGAAGATTAATTTTCAGCCTTTTATTGGATGCGCATACGCAGTAATGTCAAAGATTATTTTATTTTTAATTTTTCCTCCATGCTTTAGTTTGTACTAAAAAAATTTTAAGAAATTCAAAAAAGTTGCTTTTTACACAGCTAACAAATCTTCATAATTTATTTGCGATGTTTTTAGTGACACGTACCAAAAATTTAAAGAAATGTTGTTTTTTAAGGTTACATACAGTTGTTTATAGATGATATACAATGCTTTCAATTTTTGGTAGCTTCTTAAAATGTTTTCTCTGCTGTTCTTCATGATTCTGTAGTTAACTCTGCAATATTTTATACAGGACGAACCGGAAAACTTCAAAAACGCAGTTTTTTAAGGTTATGTACGGTTGCTAACTGGTAACATTCATTTTTAACATGTTTGAGTAGCCTTTATCGATGTTTTTTTTTTAACTTTTTATTATCCTGCTATAATTTTTTAAATTTGCACAGTGAATCCCCGTAAGTTAATCGATTACCTATTTTCAGCTCAGGTACGATTCTTCCATACCAATAATGCTTTTGAACAAGTCTTAATAACTTAATTCAATACGAAATTAGTTCTTTTATGTTAAGTACGGTTAACAAACGTGTACTTTTTCATACTAGTAAATATTTATACGTATTACAAAACAAGCACTGGGGTCTAACGTCTCTACTCATAGGAGCTTAAGACAGGAGCTTAAATTTCTTAAAAAACTTTTTTTTTCTTTTTTTTAAATTGGTTCATAGGAAAAATAAGAGAAATTCAAAATATGTGGTCTGGTAAGGTGGGATAATGTTGTGTGGTATGGTGATATTGACGTTGTGTGGTATAGTACTGGGTACCGTAAGTACCTCAAGAGGGGCGGGGCGAAGGGGGAGAATCAAAGCGAAATCTATTTCCGTTACACTTTTTCTCAAGGTTACCAATCTAAAATCATTGATTCACTCCGTAGGGCAGAACGTGCCTATAAAAGTATAACTCCAAAAATCATTATGACTTGAAAATAATGCTATGGTTGAGTTTCTCAGCGTGTACTTTCATAAGAACTAAAATACTAAGAACAGAATTATAAACAGTATTAAAAATGTATTGAAAAAAACCACTAAATCGTTTTGAAAATGCATCTTACCCATTTAAACCGTACATAACGTCGAAAAAATGAGTTAATTAAACTTTTTAGCATCTGATGTTTGAAATATTCTAAAATCAACTATGGAATCGTAAAAAAATATCTTTAAAGGCTTCTAATAATTGTTGATAATAAATGTCAGCTGTGCATCCAACAGGTAGCTAAAAACTTAGCTTTAAGAGTTTTACTTATCTCGTATCAAATGGTACCAGTCACAAAGCCATTAACTGACAGGGGATATCCACTATAGTTATCAGCCTATAGCCTTTAATAATACATACTATTGCTTGTTATACTAATAATAAAGTCACACAAAATATTTTTATGAAAAATTTAAATTTTTTACAGTTACCCACTCTTGTTTTGCATGTACATGGAACTACAATTTTTGTGTAAACATGACTTTCACAAGGGATTACCAATGCACGTGTGCAATAAAAATTTTTATGATTTGTTGCTGTGACACATTTGGATTAAAAGTTTTTTAGTGAACAAACTCATTATAAAAGCTCTTATGCCTAATGTTCTATCAGGTACAACTCAAGACTGACAATATAAGGGGCAAAAATGCATTGCTTGTTTGAATTAAAAAAAAAATTTTTTTTTTGATCATGCAGATCAATTTAACTCTTCACTTAACTTGATAATGAGTAAGATAATGTAATTATACGGCTAAAGCTAAGATAGCCTTGCAAGTTATTTAACAGTCTGTATATTATTTTGCTTAACTAGGCAAGGTATGCTTAAAAGTCTTCCTTTCTTATTATTAAAAAATGTTTTCACATGCATTTAAATAAAAATTATATTAAACCTATAGGAAGCTTAATATTTATATAAAATAAATATAGAAATTTCTAATGGGTTGTACTTTTACCATAAGCATACTAATTATTTATCAGGTACTTAACATGCTTGTATGGCTTAACTACTTTTATGCTGATTCGGTTAAAATAAAGTGAGACCACTGTTACTGAGATGAGAAGTGTAATTAATTGTATAAAAAAATTGTGTTTTAGTAAGTATATTTAGAGACTTAAATTTTTTGGATATTTACCGTAAGACTGGCCACAAATTTCTTCGTACTTTCTGCAGGACCACTTATAGTTGAGCTTTCAGGACCATTATGGCAAGCAATGTCAATATCTGAAGGACAAAGAGGCTTCATATCTGCATATCCTAGACCAACTGCAGCCATTGAACCTTTTTCTAGTTTAGATTCAGTTGATGCTAAGCCACGAGATAAGGCAGCCATTATCATTTGCTCAGCAGTAAAACATCCATCTGCATAGGCACATCCTAGCTCACCAACAGAGTGACCGATAATATAGTCTGGTTCTAAGCCTACAGCTCTTAGAACATCAACTAAACCAATCTGAAAAAAATGATATTAATTATAATTTTTAGAGTATCGTCATCATTGTACTGAGATAACAACATTTTAGGCTTAAAAAATTTTAATGTACTGGAGCGTTGGTTTATCTTACTTGTATAGCAGCAATCCCAACAAACGAATTAATAATTTGATCAAACATTTTTGGGTTCCTCTCAGTTATAATTTTAAACACATCATATCCTTGCGGTCTCAGCACATTATCACATTTTTTAATCGCTGTATTAAAAATTGGTAGTCTCAGAAGATCTCTCCCTTAAATAAAAATAAAAGACTTTTTGACTTCGCTCATTTGCTTAAATCACTTGTATTAATACAGTTATATCAAGGAATACAGATTTAAAAACACTATACAAAAAAACACTTAATTTTTATGTTAAGTAACATTGAAAGGTGTAAATCATCTGTTGCTGGTACTATTACACTTAGAAAGACCATTACAGGCATCCTGTAAGATTTATAATTTGTGAATGAACTAATAGCGTTTAAGGTAGTTGTACAGCAAATTGAAATATAGGATAGAAAATTATGATATTTTGCAGGATGGTAGATTAATGCATAAAAATAAGAAATCTAAATTTTTGTGACCCGAGGGTACCTATAAAGGGAGATATTCATAATTATTTGCATGCCTTGAGTTTTTGTTTACATGCCAATTCAACATGGCGTCTTATGGGAAACCGCGGAGCTGTCTGTATATTATCATTCATATCGTTGCTAATATAGGATAGGTTCTGATGCCCTTTGGACAGTAGAAAGATAATTAAATGACAATTATATATTCGCTTTCAAAACCTTCCAAGGGTACTTGTGAGAAAAGTAATTAAATAGTAAAGCGTGAAGAACGTGCATTTGTGAGACGCTATTTGAAAATATGGCAACGCCGCATAATCTGATATTACGCGCGCGGTTTGAAAGGTAAATAGGTACATATGATTGCTCGTAAATCCTGATTACTGCAATCTCTCTTATAGATTTTCAATTATTGTTATAGGACGTATATTTTAAATAAATATGATAAATAAATATATAAATAATAAAACGAACTGATATACAAAGAACATCAAAACAATTTTATTGCCATATATTACTTAAAAATGAAATAAACATGTTATAAATTAATATTTATGTAATAAATATTTAATATTTATTTTTTAAATAATTAAATAGCCTATTTTTAACTTTATTATTTTTAGTTACTCGTGCATTATATACTTTCTCGCTTACCCTTACACCTTTCCAAAAAAACTTCTTATTTTTTTCTTTGGGCATGACTATTTTATTAACTAAAAAAAAGATACACACGCTTCTCCTTTTGCTACAGCTGATCAACGAAGTGCTCCTTCTATGATGCTCTGAACACACACTTACAGGCACACACACATGACCGCAAAGCGACGTTGCCAGATCGTTCTACTACACAAATCAAAAAGTTTCATGACTCTTGCGGTACCTGTACAACTACCTTAATGGTGGTACATGAAACATGCATCTCCTTTGGCTTGTGTTTTTTCATTTGTATAAAGTAAAGTGACACAGTTACACTCATTCATCTTGTCATAGTCAACTTCTTTCTATACACGCGCAGAAAAATAACAATGAGTTTGATAACAAATATCTATCAGAAATAAATGTGTCAATATAAAATTAAGTTCCTTAAAGAAACTATGTAAATAGGTTTTTGTAAGGCCCTGTAAGAAATTTTTTTGCTTACTACTAAACAAAGCTTATAATACTTTCATACACTTCAAATGCTCTCTTCATAACTATAAATACATCACTCTAATGTAACTCCTTTGAACACTTAAGAACTATTTTTTACTTCAAGAATAAGTAACCATTGTCGTATTGAACTTCTTATGGAGGCTCAACACACTTATCGAAGTATTTGTTAAATGGATAAAATTGAAATCCATGGTCAATAAGTACGTTTTTAACCTCTGTATTGACAACTGTAACTATTAAAAAAAAGCCATAATTAAGGTTTGAAATAAACCAAATTCTTTAAAAACCCCTTAGTACGTTTTAAGTTGCTGTAGAATATCTAAAAAAGAATTCCACTTCATCAAGAAAAACTACTATGAAATTTGACTAACAATAATCGTATATTTTTATTCCAGCTGCCAGGGTAAAGTGAGGGACGTATCAACATCTAATAATACCTTAAAGACCACTTAAGGTTAAATATTTACGTTTTTTTTTATTGTCATTTTTTATTTCAGATTGCAATTAAGTATTAAAAACATGTTGAGCAGCTGTACGTAAAACTGGACGTATTGTAGTCCATCCGTACTGGCATTACGCCTTTTTTTATCGATAAAGAAAAATTATGTTAAAAAACTATTTGATTTTACAAATTTTTTTCACCCAATATAAATATGTTGAAAAAAACATGACGAGTAATACAATTTGTTAAAAATACAATCGCTTACATAAATCGTAAGATTGAATAAGAATAGGCTGGAGTACTCATTTATGNTTCACCAAATATAAATATGTTGAAAAAAACATGACGAGTAATACAATTTGTTAAAAATACAATCGCTTACATAAATCGTAAGATTGAATAAGAATAGGCTGGAGTACTCATTTATGTAAATTATTGAATAATAAAATAGAAAAAACTTATATATGTTATAAACAAAAAATCATTTTGCTTGAGGTTATAAGTCATCGAAAGTTTAAGGATCTTTCAAATAACCTACGTTCTAGCATTAATTATTTAACAAAAAAAAAATTTTCTGTGAACCCTCAATTAAAAAATAATTTCATAAAAAATTCTAATGTAATCTGTTAATGCAAAGTTTTCCACCTGTACAAAAGTGCAGTTTTAAATGTTTTTTACTTATGTATTTATGCCTGCTTAGGCGTTTCAACCGTCAACATCTAAGACTATATTTAACAACTTTGTAATTAAATGCCTTTTTTTTTCTTAATACACGGACCTCATTTAGACATCGAAACACATTTTTTAGTTTGGTTGAACCGAATTTGCTGGGAAAAATTCAAAACTGAAAAAGTTTATTCCAGAATTATTTTTTGTAACATTGCTTCAGAGAAGAACATTTTATCTAGACTATGTGTAAAAAGTCAAACAACAGAAAATTATCCTTTATTTAAAGTTGACAAATCAGTCAGCCTACTAATTTTTATGAGGACTACAAACTTTTAAAAAAATCAGGATTTTGGGGTTTTTTGACTTTGTAGCACTTTTTCTGAACTGTTATTTATAAAATGTCATTTCATAAAATTGAATTATATCCGTTAATACAATCGTATACACCTAAGAACAAACTAAATTTTTAGTGTAACATACGCTCACAGACTCATTTCTAGTTGCGTGTAATATATCCTATTTTATACCTAAAAGGAAAAAAAGAAAATTTCCCATAGTACCATTTTGTCGTCAATAGAGTAAAATTATATACAAGTACATAAAGTTTTATCAAAAGCACTGTGCACTTAAAATATAAAACTTTTCATTAAGAAGCTAATAATGAAAATCACATACAAATCAAGTTACACTTTGCTTAAATAAATTTTGTAGCAAGAAAAAAAATGTTTATGGACCCTCATTTATTTATTATAAAACTAACAGATAAACAAAAATTTGATTGAAATTTATTGATACAAAGAGAACCTGCTAATGAAATATGTTTTCTTGAAAAATATGCACGTCTGTAAATAATTTTATAATGAAAAATGCTTACTACAATATTAAAAAATAAACCAGTAAATTAGCAGTAAATAAATAATGGTATTACAAATAAAACATAAAATAACAGGCATAATTCTAACATCATTTATTTAAAATATACAAATGAAACTGAGATAAGTAAGGATAGATAGTTCAAACGCTGTCAAGTGTTTTAGTATACATCGCTATAGGTAATGTATGAAATAAGTAGTTATTGACTAAATGTCATTGTGAACAGATTTTTTCCATGCATTCTAATTATCAACACTATTAACCTTACTTTAAAGTAACATTTAAATGAATTATTTTTTGATTAAACTATTAAACATAATATAATATTAGTACGTATCGTTTAAAAGTATACAAATTATTTTTTTGCCACCAGGGTGATTTCAACAAAAAAATCAAAATAAGTATGTGTTCAAGTATGTATCTTGTAACACATTGGGTTAGATTGGCTACACGTTGTAACATAGATATTGACGATAAGACTTTATAATCTACTTTATTAACTCTCATTCGCTGATCAAAATAAACATTCATTGTTCTAACACATTCTGCATCAACAGTTCTTTTTGGTTCTTCCTTATATCCTAAAAGTAAAGTCCATGCTTATTTAAACCATTTTACTTTCTGAGTCTTGGTATTAAACATCTAGCAAAAATTAATTTTTATAGCAGATATTATTGATGCTCAGCATAGATCTTAAAACAATCATTCTCACCTGTGTACGTGTATCAACACAAGTTCTCAAAATACTCAGTATATTTGTCACTCTTCTTGGATTTGAAACGAACTTGCTTAGTTAAATCCAAAACAAAATATAAATGCAGTAATGACTGTCTTGAACGAGTTTAACAGATCGCAAGGTGTGTAGATTTTGAATCAATTAGAAACTGTTCCATGCCGATTAGTAATGGGACTGGTAATGGGTACTGATGGTATGAGTGAAATAAATTTTTCTCCAAACTAATTACCAATAATGATTTTAATTCTAAACTAATGTAAAAAAAATCTCTCTTTGGAGAAAGTAAAATGTTATCAAATCCTTTTTAGTACTCATTGTAAAAAAAAAGCAAAATAAGTTGGAAAAGTTGTAAAACCTTTAAATAGGGACCTGAACTGTAAGACAATTGACACAAAAACGAAGGAAGTACAGGAGAAACGATTATGACCCTCTTTCGATCAAAGTAAATGCTGTACTTATTGTAAAATCAACAACGGTATATAATTTTGCAATTGATCACCAAGAGAGAAGAAGTCGTTCTGTCTGCTCTAATGCATGCAATACATTTGCATATAATTAATTGCCTTATAAGTTGTCAAAGAAATCATTTTTTATAAGGAAGGAATCATATTAATAATAAAGTAATTAATTATAATTAAGGTTACAAAATATTTGAGACACAAACACATTTACATTGTAACATTTTTGTACAAAGCCTGAAAAAATTTAACATATGGTCAGAATGTTGCAAAAAATTTTCACGAAATTATTTACTTGAAAAAAATATGAGCCTAATGAACAAAGGAAAGTAAGTATAATACAGAACTCATA